AAATTGACAAGCTGACCGTAGTATTCATTAGGAAATATAAGCAACCCAAAAGAGAGGAAGGACAGCGTCATAACCACTTGGGGGGGGGTTTGTTTTTAAAATGCAAATTCCTGGGTCCTTACATGATCAAAATTCTAAGAGTGATATTTGGTGTTTTTTTAAAAAGTCCCCTTTTTATGCACAATCATAAAACAGAGGAGGTCTATAACATAGGAGTAAATATGTGGTACGCGTCGTTATATTACATAGTCAGGAAAATGTATTATCACATTTTAACTCTGATCTGTAACTCTGATCTATAAGTTAGCAGTAATAAATATTTCATTAACAATTATTCTGCTTGCCCTTTTAAAGACTATAAGAACTTTTTGCTAGATAATTTAGATGGCTTAAGTCTTAAAAACAGCTATTCATGAACATTTGAACTGATGCCATCTTTTTCCTTTAAAACATTTTCCTATCTCAAGAACGTTTTCTTTAAAAACATAATTCCATACCGTTTATAGACATGCCTGAGAACTAAATTTTTTTTTGATTTTTGAAACTTTTTATTTATATTTTGGCCTTACAAATAATCATTTTTAAATTGACTCTTCTGTAAGAATGTAAAGCACAAAAATTTGCTAAATATCAGATCCACACAAATCCTCAAAAGGTTTTCTGTGTAGTCTTCATTAATGCAAATCTTTGTGTGAATATTTCACTCTTAGCGTAGATCTTGAACCTGTTTTACAATAATGAAGCCATAAAGTTTTTAGGCAGTGCATTCATTATAAACTGTAACATTTCCATTAAAAGGAAAGCTGGGTAATACAAAAATATGAGAGGATCTGAGAAGCAGGCAATCTGTTGAGGCTCGGTATATCTTATTTGGTTATCTATGAAAATTTATAGATAATGAGTTTCTTGAATTATTTTTTCTTTTTCTTATATGCCCAGAACAGAACCTGGGGGAATGGATGAGTAATCTGATCACAAAGCTACCAAATGTTGTTGGTTTTGACAATACTATACTGTTCAATATTTGTTTTTCTATCTTCCACTGCAGATTTACTTAAGATCTCCACTTCTTGTGCCAAATTCTTCCATCAAATATCCTTGTGAATTAGTTTAGGTTTCTTGATGAAATTTTCTGGATATGGATCTATCCTTAAACATCCATCTACACAAGTCTAAGAAACTGCTTCACCCTCAGGCTTAGAAGTTTAGAAATGCTTAATTTCACCTCTATCCCCCAGTTCATAGTATATATTGCCTGACAAATTTTCTGAATAAATATTGGTTGAACGAATGATTTCTCCTTACATCTGAACACTTTTTTTCTGGGCCAGCCTACCACATATATATGGTATGTAATCAGCAAATGTAGATAGATATAATGTAGACAGATACCTATGTACAGAGAGTGAGAAAAATATTTTAAATGGTAAATATAATTTTGGATTTTCTAGAAATGATTACCAAATAATCATTAATGGTAGGGGGGCATTTAACCAGGCTAATATACATGTGTGGAAATATAAATAGCTAAATGTGAATGTATTATTTATTAATCAACTTTGAAAACATATTATATTCAAATATTTAATGGACCTTTTTTGAATTTACTTTTTGCTATTCATTTCCTACTAGTACATTCAGAAGACTTACTTTAATAGACTTACTATAACACAAACAACATAATTCTGTATCACACAATGAGATACAATTACTGTAATGAAAATAGCAACTAAAATGGATTTGGTTCATTGTAGTCACTGTGTTAATTTTAAGTATACCAGCATTGCTATAGATACTTAAACCCTGAAGTCAGAAAAAGTTTTTTCCTTTACAAAATTTGGATTACAAGTAAATGTCAATGATGCATTATAGAATAAGATTATTTCCAATAATGTTGTATAAGCACGTAAGTTGTTTTTGGCATTTAAACAATCTATGATTCTGTTCATCAACTACCAAAACGAAATGTTACTGGCAGTACTCAGACATAGCTTCTCTTGGAATAAAGACTGTTCATTTTATTCTGAGAAATGAAAGCAAATTCAAGATCCTATGCTGCAATAATTAATTAGCAACACCAGCATTTTCTCACAAATAATTGCAGTTGACACTTTTTGCCATCATATGGAATATATGTTCCCTAGAGACATCAGCCTGGCCCCCTAAGGTTTACAGTTGCGAAAGTATTATAGTTACTTAAGCAGAGTACAATGCCTTGATGACTCATTGCTAGGAATATACCATCTTTCCCTTTCCTGTGTAAAATAATGTGGTCTTTTCAAGAAGAAAATGGTGAAGAAAGTAATATTAAAAAATCGAGAACTCAAGGTTATAATCTTCTTCAAACTTTTCCCCACCAAGCCAGATATGCTAACATAGGCTTTTGGCTCCAGGCAGACACCAAGGGGCTCATGTGTTCTCCTTTACACAGTTTATAGAATGGAAAACACATTAGAGGCTCACATTTTGCTCTGCTTTTGGAAGAAAGGAAACTCTGTGTCTCTTTCCAAGGAAATCTTGGAAAGTTTTCTCTGTGAATTAATGATGAAATGACCCAATGCCAAATAAACCAGAAAAATGCTCTTCATTAATAAGGTAATGTAATTATCAAAAGTTAGATAAACAACGAAATAGACTTGAAATTACTAGTTTAGACTCCAATCACAAAATATGCCTAATTTAAGATTTACTTTTAGGTTTCGTGTCTGTTACATAGAAACCTTCATAGATCACAGATACAGTTAAATATACCAATCTGAGACAGAAGGTGAAGTGTCACAGAATTAGACCAGTGAATTGTATACCCAGGGGGTAAATATTTATTCCAATTATCTTTCTCTTTAAGTCCGGGTAAAGCACAAACTGAGATTGGATTTAGATACAATAAAGCAAAATTTGGCTTACAATCGGGGTGAGTATTATGCCATGTGCATTCTAGCACAAAATCAAGGTCTGGATGGATTACTAGAAAACCAAATTCCTCCAAATTGCACATGATTTGCAATTCTCAGTCTCAGAGAAATGTAACTAGACAGGTCTCATCTCCTCAGGCAGAAGGATGGAGTCTACTGCGGACTTGTGCCGACATGACTTTCAGTACAGCACTGTAAAGATGGTTTCATATTTACTTAGTGCATTGTGTTATGAAAATGAAAACATAGTTGTTGTTATGCCTTGCTGATTATGTTTCTTCCCTTTTCCCCTGTTCAAAGCTCCTTCTCTGGCAGTTTCTCTAGCTGAATGAATTTCTAGAGGGGGCTAAGTCAACATGTCTGCCTTCTAATAAGCCCTAAGGCCTCTATCTTCTCAGAGTATCAAAGACCACTGTTCCTACTCCACAATCTTCCTCAGGAATCAGAACTGCACTAGACCCCACCAGATAACTATGACAGGCAAGGGACTTGCTTTTTTCTTTATTCAGAGACAGAATAAAGTTTACTTTTTGCTACCTATTTTGCCATTCATTTTAAAAGTTCTAGTATATAGTATTTCTTATAGTGCAGGCTACATTTTTTCAGCCCCTTCAGAACCTCATTTTAAAGGTTTGACCCTACAAATGAGGAAGATATACAGTAATTCATGCTAAAAAAACTAAAGGGAAATTTACCTTTGATCCACCTAGTCAAAAAGAACTTAAAAACCCAATTAAATCAGACTCTCAGAGCTATGGTATACAAATTAAAGACTGTTTAATAAATCAATCTGTTAGGTAATAATTTGCTAATATTAATTAGTTGCATTAGAAGCTAAATAGATAAAACACAAGAAAATAAACCAAATGTAAATGGCAAAATAGTTTTTAAGAGTAGGAGAAAGGACATTACTAATGGGAAATGTCTACGAAAATGAGCAAATTTTACCTGTCATCATCTTGCGAGAATTGCTTTTGCAAATCCTCTTTATTCCACTGTTCTTTTTCTTTCCCTTGTTCAGGTATATCTTGTGTTTTTTTCTCGTCTCCTGATTCTCTGTTTTTCTCCTTATTACATGTTTTTGTAATCTCTTTCCCTTTCTCATTCTCATTAATTCTTTCTTCCTTTACCTCTTCTTCCTCATGAACTATCTCTTCATGCTTATCCCCTTCTTTCCCTCCCTCTTCTATTCCCTTTGGCCTTTTGAAAGCAAAATAAATTGAAGGCATGCAAATAAACACAAAACAGAAAGAAAAAGTCAAGAAAAAGTGCATACAAAATTAAATAGAAAAGTAATGATAACTACTAAAACATAAATAAAAATGACATCTTTTAAGCATTGAAAACTTTTTCTCCAGTGTACACCAGAGAAGCACTGTGTAAGCAACATTTAAATCATAATTGTTTTTAAATCATATTGTCCTGTTACAAAGTTGCATGGAAAAAATTGTGGTCTCTCCATTACTGTTTTGTTTTGATCCAATAGGAGTAAAAAAAGACTAATTTAGCTCAGGTGTCCATAAAGTCTACAGGTTGGGTGACAAATGAAAATTACACTAAAAAACATACATTACATTTATAAATTTTCTTGAGAAACTGAGAATTTTTTCCATGCATTTATAAAAAGTTTCAAGAGGATGGGAGAGCACCTTACTAAAAAAGTAATGTTCTTGTGTTTTCTGAATTACTAAAATGTATTCAGCTAGGAAAAATCCCCTCTAAAATATGATTTTTCATATTCCTTAGAATATTAAAAAATTCAGGTCTTCACTTAACCATCACTTTAATTTCAGTAAAGATATAATAAAATAATTACTTTTTAAATAACAAACATGAAAAAATACCTAATGATATTATTTCAAATAATCTAGTAAGAAGATAGCTATAAGTTCTGTAAAACTTTTCTGTGCAAGAAGTTTGAAATGGAGACCAAAATATAATTAAAAGTAATCTGTACAGAAGTTCTTATTGTCTTAATGATATATATTAACCTTTTAGAAGTAAAAGATTTTACATTTATCCAAAGAAAAATAAAGATCTTCTAAAATATATTTAGAGGAACTTCCTGCTTAAAGTCCCCTTACTCACCTGATTTTCTTATTTCCTCTTGGCCGTTCTGATTGGACAGACATGTAGCTTGTGCTGCTGAAACGAGAAGCACTACTAGTCCTTGAAACCGCAGATATATCACTTACATCACTGTCCGAAGATTTAGTGGAAATATTATCTGCCCCTCTATGAGGATCCCATCCTGATCGATACTGTTAACACAGATTGACAAATACGCAGAAGTTGTCAGTATTACCACACAAAGCAATTATTCGCTTCTCCTATTTCAGCACTTTAATTGTCCACAGAGGATACTGCAAAACCCCACTCAGTTGCATATAAAACAAAAGTGAATGGCAATTATCCTAAAAGAAAAGTTCAGTTTATATGAAACCCTTGTTTTTAGCAATGACAATTAGAGAATTTTTACCACACCCCAATGAAGACCATTAAAACAGTTTCACAACAGGAATGGCCTCAGGGAAGAACATTTAGGTAAAATCTGGGAAATAAACATTTGGCTTAATATTAGGAAGAAAAATTTTTTTTATTTCTGAATTTGAAAAAAAAGTATGATGAAGTTGCCATTGTAACTTATAAAAACCAATTTTAGTAGCATCAATTTTCTCTTTAATCCATTATGCTTCACTGAAAACCTAGAGATAATATAAAATCTAATTATTAAAACACTAACTTTTTAAAGAAAAGCCAAGAGAAAAGAGCAAGTTTAATTTCTGAATGGTTGCTGGAATTTTGATGAATCCTAGAAGTACTAGAAAAAATCATTATTATTTACAACAGTTCAAACTTTCTGGAACTGAAATAATCAGATGGTCATCTGCCAGGGTGCAGGGTGTTCTGGGTGTTCAAATATTCTGATAAATTGAAAACCTTCATAAATGCTTTATGTTAATGACATGTGGAATGTAAAAAAGAATAGGTTTTGAAGTCTGAAAAATGTGGAGTAAGGAAAACTTGCTAGCTGGGTAAACTTGAGCAAATTATTTCACCTTTAAAACACTGTTTATAAAATAATAGGGAAAATAATATCTTCCTTGCAGGGCTGTTTTGAAAATTAGAAATAATACATGTGTGGTGTCTGGTATAATATAAAATAATGCAGCCAGTATTATTACTGTATGATTACTACCTGATGGCTATTACTATGTTAAGAGACTAGTTTTTTTTTGTAAATATGCTCTTAAACATAATGGTGAAAAATCCTTACTTCGTCAATTTCACAATGGAGATCTTTTAAATCATAGATACTGGCAAATTTCATAAAGCATTAGAAAGATGATTATCTTATATAAACCATTTACTGTGACTTGAATAATCATTACCCTAATAAATAGTTCTGTATGAACAACAATTCACTGAAAATATTAGCTAGATATAAACATTTTGGTAAGACAAGTTGAATGGCAGTAGGGTGTAGCGTAAACATTAGATCAGATTCAAATGAGCTGGTTTTTTTTCCCCCAGGATCCCCCAGTATCTTGTTGTATATTTTTGAGTTAATAACTGGTCATTTTCTTTAAATGTAAAATATAAGAATTATTTTGAAGGCTACACAAAATTTTAATAATCAAATCCTTAACCTAGAAATATATATTTATATTAGGTGAGATATGGCCTTTCTTAATCCACTCTAACTTTCGACTTTGTTGGAATTCTAAATTATCAAAAAAAAATACAGTTAGGGCTTCCCTGGTGGCGCAGTGGTTGAGAGTCTGCCTGCCGATGCAGGAGACACGGGTTCGTGCCCTGGTCCGGGAGGATCCCACATGCCGCGGAGCGGCTGGGCCCGTGAGCCAAGGCCGCTGAGCCTGCACGTCCGGAGCCTGTGCTCCGCAACGGGAGAGGCCACAACAGTGAGAGGCCAGCGCACCGCAAAGAAAAAAAAAAAAAAAAATCAAAAACAATTTACTTTAAATGACAATGTCTTCAGCCATTGCCTAGAACAGCATTTCAGTGGTTGGATCCAATATTATCTATGTTAACCATTATATTTAAAATATATATATATATAATATATACACATATATAGCCAGTATATACTGTCTAGCATAGATAACGTTGGATATATGTATATATGTATTTTTTCCATGATATTTATTAAAAGTAAATTTGATCTCAAGTTGAGACACAAATGGAAGTAATTTCCATTTTTGAACATTTCATATATATATGAAAAATGGATGTTTCAAGAAATTTTTCAAAATTATTAAATTGTTCCCAATACTACACTGCATTGGGAGAACTTTATCTTACTCATTCTTAGAATTTATAATAAAAAGGAGAAGCATATTGCTATTTATGCCTTTAAAAATAATTTATCATTGAATAGAAAAGCAGTTTTGGTATTACATTTTTTTCTTTGCTTTTGCTCATGGGATTACTACATCATCTAAATGCAAATGAAAAGCCACAACTTTTAACTTCAGGAAGTACTAAGGGTAGATGTAATCATGAAAAGCACATGCTCTGGAGTGAGACTGAATCATTGGTATGAATCTTGGCTACATAAGTTATTAGGTTTGTGATCCTGAGTTCCAGTTTTTTATCTGTTAAAATGTGGACAACAATCATACCCATCTCCTAGGTTTGCTGCAAGGATTAAATAAAATAATGTACATAAAGCACTTAGCACAATATTGGACACATAAGAAGTGTTTAATAAATGACAAATGATGACAATGATGATCATGATGATTAGATAGTAGCTGAATACTGGCTTAGTATCAATTCCAGGAATATATTTACCAAAAGAAATATTAGGTAAAATACCCAAGAGTAAATTTATTATTTTAAGACTGCTCTAAGCTATAATAAAATGTACCTATTTCTATATATACCTAAGAGACACATTTCAGAAAATATATTTATAAAGCAAAATAAAATATTAAATCAAACTTTCCCCCTAGTATGTTCTCAGGCCTCACCTGCCCGTTTGGACAGGTTCATTCATATTCCAACGCTTCATAGGGAACTACTAATTCTCAACTGCAGGATAAGGAATAGCTTTATCTCAGCAGGAAATAAATGACACTTCTTGGCTGACACAGAAGATGCCTCATTTTTAATATTTGCTTCTGGTACTTTATCCTAATATCCAAAGCCACCTGGTACCTGTGTATCCCATGTCTTCCTGATTGGTTCTTTTCTGATTTTCTTTGCCTTCATTTCTGAATCCTAACTGCTTTTTGACTTTTGTATTTCAGTAGTTGGTATTCTGACTTTGCATATTCTAGCCTTTGTCTTTTCAGGTCATCATGACTTTTGATCCTGTTGCTATGATTCACAGGTACATACAGGTTAGCCTAAGGCTTAAGAATTTTTTTTTTTTAAACACACATGGTATATATACATTGCACATATCTTTGGCTAAGACCTCTCACATAATCTAGTTTGCTGAGCTAAAATTTTGGATATGCAAAATTTAAGGAAAGATAAGATTCCACATACTATAGTTTTAAGCCTTTATATAATTCATCACATGCTACCTCTTGTTATAGGTGTGTGTGTCTGTGTGTCTGTGTGTGGGTGTGAGTGTATTCATATTTATTGGTAGTTTTCAAACCTTCTATTAGAATAAAAGCTCCAAAAAGCCAGAACAATATCTTCTTTATCTTTGTAAGTCTCTTAGCACCTAAGAGTCAAAGATTTAATTTAATTTAAACTCAGAGGTTTAGCTTTTGTACCAGTAAGATAAGGATAAATTTCATTTTAAGGATTCTTGTGAGGAGTAAGAGAAATAATATATTCAAAATACCCAATCGTGTGCTTAGCGCATAGCAGCTGCTCATTTCCAACACCGAAAGCAGCGGGTCATAAATAAAAAGACACCGAACGGAATAGTTTAAATAAAGGAAAACTACAAATTAGCTAAAAGCTCTAGTTTGATGATGATTTTGTTGTCTACCTAAGGCTTGTACCAAATGCATTTTTCTGTCTATTTCTAACATGTTTACCTTTGGGATATAGCTCAGGCTTCCATTAAAAACAGACACATGATCAACAGAATGAGAAATTTGGAAAGTGAGAAATAATGGGAAAAAGTTTTAAAAGTAAAACTTCAGAGGAACGTATTTTGGATACATTTAGATTATAGCATCTTTAAGTATATAATTCACAAAAAACCCAAATCGAAGTTATAAATGACCTACTATGGGAGTTTACTTTTAAAATGGTTCATTCTTTTTGCTTTTCCTAAAGTATGAAAAACAAAAGTTATATAATTTAAGTGAGACAGAAGCAGTTAAATTATTATTATACCAAGGTAATGAGTTACGAATGTGAATAAGTTCATTTATTTAGGAAATGGTTGGTATTGTTTTGGCACTATACAATAAATGCTTTAAACAATTAGCATCTATTAGTTTCCAGCTGACATGAACAATGGATGATGTGCTCATCATTATCTTTAATGAAACAAACAAAGAAGGTTTACTGCATAGGATTACAGGATCTCAGCTGAAAATTGTGCTGACTGGAGATCATTAAAGTCTTGGACGACAGTGAGGGAGCTTTTCCCGACAACATTTTGATGTTTTGTACATTACTATTAAGCAGATCATGAAGCAGAAAAATTTACGGGAAATTATTGTTCTCCGGGATGTTCCAGACCCTACAGTTCTTAAGTGGCCTGGAAAAGTTAATGTTCTCCCTATTTATCTAACATTAGTGGAAAGCAACAGTACATCAGCAGAGCTCTACTGCAAGGGAAGTTATTATCAAAATTTTATAATAATATTCCTGAGAAAAAAGTAAACTCAGATTTCTAAAATAAAATTTTCATTTTCTCCTATATACTCATTTCAAGTTCTTAGATTAAGTAATTTCCTAGTTTGAGTTCTCTACAGCATCTCAGCAACTCAGGTCATTTGAGCTTTGTACGTGAACCTCTATGAGACGTCCTTAAGCATTGCTTGTCTTCAATTTATTGAATCTCACCATAAAACTGCGATTTATTGTCTAAAACTCTAGTCCAAGAATTGGTTATGGCAAAATACTGGGAAGCAAGAAAGCTCACGTTTGAAGAAAAAAAATTTAGGCCATCAAGAAGTACTTGGAGGAATATTTACATCACATTCAGAGAGAAAACATGAGTAGATCGAAAGTAGGAAAAAATTGAGGCAAACATAATCTTTGGAAGATAAGAGGGGGGCTGAATTTCTGGGCAGGGCTCTTGATATCAGTCTGGCGGGTC